GGTACCAGGCCTCCAGGCCGTGTGTAAGAATAGGAATAACACAAGCTTTCACAGCCCTCTTGGTTGACTTTACTGGAAGTCCTTTGACTGTGTTGCATAGTCCTCGAAGGTGATTTGCTACCTTATTAGCTTTCTTGGCCCAGTAGGAAACGTGATTTTTGAAGTTTAGTTTTTTATCCAGGAAGACAACCAGCCATTGCATGGAGTCCTTTGCTATTTTGTGCTATTTTGTTCATTGTCCTGTGGCGGACTGGAGGGTTGTCTGAGTTCTTTTTCCTTGAAAAGTGCATGATCTCAGTTTTGTCAGGGTCAAATTCAATAGTGTTGTTATATCCCGGCCGTATGGCGCAATGGTCAAATGCGCCTGGTTGTGTTCTCGTTTGTGCGGTGGGCGACGAGAACAAGTGGGTTCGAATCCTGCTATGGCCCCCTTTCTGACCCGGCTTGTGCGAGTCGATAACCAGCACACGACAGTGGAGAGGCCCCATTTTATCGCAGAGCCCGATAGCCAAGCAGCTTGTCTCCACAATACCCACTCCTGCGAGGTTTTCCCCCTTGTGGTTTCCCTCGCCAGCAGATAACAAACACCTACTCCACCCACCAATGCGACATATATCGAACGGCTACTGGAACGATATGTACACCAGAGAACTGAGGTTCACTGGGTCGCTTTGTCACTAGATAGGAGGTTTTTCTGACGGAATCGTGCTTGGGTATTGACTAAAACCATCTGAACACTCCAGATTGGTACCGCTACAGCGAGGATAGGCTCGTGCGCGGATCTGAATGTATCTAATTTGACACCTCTACAACCTTGCGATGCAATGGCTCTGGGAGGCGTGGTTTGCACTACTGAGGAGCTACCCCCCACGTTAAATACAAAACAAACAAACAAAACAAACAAACATGTTGTTATATCCCTATTGACTAAGCAAGTAAAGATTTTCAGAAGCCTCTGTAGCTGTTTCCTCAAGGTTCTTTCCAATACAGAGAGTCGCTAGGTCGTCTGTATATCCAAAGTGTCTCCTTTTCATACCGAGTCGGGCACAGATTGGCTCTATATACAGCATATAAAGGATTGGAGAAGCTGGTGAGCCTTGTGGTAGCCCACAAGTGAGAGCTTTTATGTCGGTCACAATACCTTCAAACCAAACCCTTGCGGACCGCTCGGACATGAATGACTGGACCCATCTTATGAGAAAGCCCGGCCAGCCCTGTTCTCTCATGCGAACCACCAGCCGTCCCATTAGGGCAGCATCAAAGGCCCCTTTTACATCTGACGTGACTACTGTTGCAACGAGGCCTTGGTCGAGGGCCTGCTCAATATCGTGTATGAGTGCAGCTACCAGGTCAGTGGCAGAGCGCTTTGATAGAGCTCCAAAATGTTGTGGAGCTAGAATTCCAAGTTTGACAACAAACCAGGTAATTCTTTTCGCGATGAGTCGTTCTAGGCCTTTGCCAAGACATGACAGTAGCGATATTGGTCTGTAGGCCCTGGGATTGGAATAGTCTTTCTTTCCTGGTTTTGGGATCATCACTATCTCAGCTACTTTGAATGGTTTAGAGTGGTGTCCAATCTGTAGACAGGTCTGGAAAAGGGCTCTGATATGTTCCCCAATGAATGGCCAGCAAGCTTTCAGAATCCGTACTGTGAGGGTATCTATTCCCGGGGAGTTGCTCTTGGTCTCTAAAGTGCACCCTTCAGCCTCTTCCAGTCCGACATGGTATTCAAGGGGGATATATGGCTTGGGTTGTGTGATCTGAGCGGACCAGGGGTCGATGATATCGTTGTCTGAAGTACTTTGTTCAAGCGTGGCTGAACGTAGTGCATTTGCTTTGCTCTCTTGTGACTCAAATATTTGGTCTCTTATGATGATTAGAGAGGAACGCAATCCTGCTGACAGCTTATGCCAAGAAACGATTCTATACAGGTCCTTTTCCTTAGTCGCTGAATCAATTAGAGTCTGCCAGTACTCTCTCCTAGCTTTCCGAACCACGCGGCAAAATTCCCGTCGGGCTGAATTCCGCCTTTCTTGGCTTGTAGTCTGTTTAGAAAGGGCCCTGTATGTCTGAACAGCTGCTTTGCAGTCATCATTCCACCAAGCAGTGGGCCTAGATTGACAGGGCTTCTTGCCCACTGTCCTGATACAGCCTTGGATCATGTTGATCAAGCTTTGTGTAAAGGCATCTACCTGGCCAGGGGATACACCCAGCCGGGGGAGTTCATGGATCCTGGTTTGGACATTATCTGCCAGCTCTTGTAGTTTGTCATCCGGTACTATCCAGTAATTGGCCTTAGAGACTCGGTCCAGATCTCCCTGAATTGGAATGACTATTCGTAATGTCTCATGATCTGAGGTGCACTGAAGTGCATCATTGACTGAGGCTTCAGCCATGGGGACATCTGAGAACACCAGATCCAGTACATTTCCATCGTCATGTGTTGGGACATCTGGTTCAGAAATCAGATCCAGTCCGTGGTCTGCCATAGTCTGTGCAAGTATGATACCACCGTGATATCCTGGATTGTTCGAGTCCCAGGATGTGTCGCCAGCATTAAAATCTCCAGCTATAACACAGCCAAAAGGTGGAGTCCATACTTCTAGAATGTCATCCACTTCCTGTGGGTTGTCACATGGTCGGTAGACACTGGCAAAAGTGATGCCTTGTACCTTGACCCAGGTGATGTCTCGTGTAGCATAGGGCCGAAGTTGATCCGCTTGAAGGTGTTTTCTCACATAGATGAGAGATCTGGGTCGTGTACTGTCGCTGTCCCAGGAATCTACTGGGGAGTATATATCGTAATTAGGGTGTGTCTTTACTCCCATTCTCTTGCTTGGTGATATGCCGACCCAGGGCTCTTGCATCAGAATGATGTCTGCTTGTTCTCCTTTGTAGTCAGCCAGGTTGATGGCTAACTCTGTAGGGCCTGCACTCTTTTGTCCTCCTGTTGTATTCACAGAATGGATGACTAGGTGCCTGTGTCGATGTGTTTTGTTTGATGTACCTAACATTGACTGACAACAATGGTATCGGCATCTCTGGGATGAGTTGTATCTGTTGTGTCGATTTGCATTGTGGTGTCTTTGTTATTGTTGCTGGGTGTGGACCCAGCTTGGTTTCTGCCTGCTTCGTTGAAGGCCTTGGATCTGGCTCTTTCTCCGGCTAGCCTTATTTCCTGGATTTGCTCCCATGTGTGCTTATGGATGGTACCTTTCACAATCTTGGGGCGGGCAGGGCATTTGTTGAAATTGGCAGCATGAGGTCCTTTGCAGTTGACACACTTTGGGATTGGTTTTTCGCACTCTCCCTGGTGTACTGTGTTGGCGCAGTGTGCACATACTTGCTTTTCGCATCAGTAATTCCTACTATGGTATCTGAAGCAGCTTGCACACTGGTGAACCTTGGGGGTGTGTTGAATATGCCTTGAGGTCATTGAGTGGGCAAAAAGCGTGAATGGTTTCCTTGCTGCACTGGGCAGAGAGATTATCCACGTGGTTTCTGGATCAGAATCAATCGTGTTCTTTGAGAGTATGCACCTCAGAGGTCTGTCGCCTGTTTGTGCTTCAACTTCATCAGTAACAACAGTGTCGGTAATATCGATTGTGAACCCTTCTGCACTGATGACCTTTCTTGGGCATCCATCGACCTTGTAATGATGCCAGACTGTGTGGGTCTCAATCTTTTGTGCCTTGAGAATGTCGGCAATTTCTTCTTGGAAAGCCAGAAGCTTAGCCTAAGTTGGCTTGTCCCTTGGGTGTAAGGTAAAACCAGAAGGACACCGTGTCACTTCTCTAAGCTCCTAAGGGTGGAGCTTAAGTCTTCTGTTCAGTGTAGACTTGATTCCATAAGGCTCTAGATGGCTATTATCCATGCGGACAAAGACCCAGAGATCATCCTGCTTTTTCTTCAGTTGGTTGGTAGTGATAAGGGTGCCAGGCTGCGTTTTCTTCATGGTAGTGTTGACTGTCCATGGATGCTGTCGTTGGCCAGAGGAGACAGCTTGGGCAAAGGTCATGATGGGCTTCCCTGTCCCTATCCCGCCAGGAGTGGTCTTTTTTTTGGGCAGATCTCGGGTTTCCAGCCACTCATTCAGGCATTTGGAAAAGAAAGTGCTGAACTCCTTGGCATGAGAGTATAGTTCGGTTCCAGCTTTTTCCAGTGTCTTATCGACTGCTGCAGCACACTCCTGAAACATTGTCATCCTGGCCTCATAGAGATTTCGTTTGATTGAGGTACTTCCATATCAATGATGCTGCTAGTATTAATATTTCGGGATTTTCCTTTCAGAGGGGAAATAATGGTGAAGTCAGCCTCAGAGACCTGTGACGGGCTGCTGTTGATGTCGTCGAGCAGTGCCTGGCGGAGCTTGCTTGGGGTTGCCGGGCCATATGTTCTTTTAGGGACCGGTGATTTGAGCACGCCGCCAGTAGTCGTCTTTGGGACGGCCACTGGCGTGTTTGGGGGCCCGTCGTGGAAGGGTGCCATCTGGCTTATGAGAAAAAATTCTCTTGTGCCTTAACAAAGATAGTCAGTTACTGAGAGAAGTGCCTGCTTTAGTACAGATATCGAGGTTGCGCCCTAACAGCGGGGCGCCAAGAAAAAATAATTTTGGCGGCCTTTGTCGAGCTCCAGGTATTCGTGCAAGCGACATTGAAGCCCATGAGGCACGCCGACAGGCCAACAATGAACACATTAGGTCCGCGCCTGCACCGCCGTGGATCAAGAAGCGGAAGACGGATAGCACGCCATTCGAGATCTCAAGCGAGGGGAAGAGATATCATGGTCGCAGGTGGACGAGCTGCCTCTGAAACAGCAACCTAGACCCCATCTTCACAACTCGGACCACCCTGCCTATCCAAACCACGATCCGCAGTTTCTTCGCGCTTGACTCAGTCGAGTTGGGAGAAGGCCACAAAGATTGTCCATCGATTGACCGTGTCAACCCTGGCGCACCATGCCTCCGTACCCGAAGCAATACCGCCAACTCCGCTCCAGAGATGGCCAACTTCGTTCCTCCCACTCCCTCCTGCCAAGGAAGTGTGCGCGATAATCAATACAGTGCAAGTCGCGACTCGGCCAGCAACAGCAGCGCCGGTGTCCGCTCTCCCTCCTACCGTCGCGATGACCTGTATCATAATGGCATTGGGATCCGACGAGCCGACGAACAATTGCCCAACCATGTATCCCACAACATCGCCCAGGTACTACAAGCGCCGAGATCCTCGCCTAGCCCCAGTCCCGAGCAGATGAGTGGGTATATGCAAAGGCTGGAAGCTCTTGGAAGAGGGTGCACAGAAGAGGAGGTGAAGGACTTTCTCTGCGATACCGTCTTCCCTACCGACTCTGACCCTGTCTACGGACGCCGGGGAGGGCTGGAGACATCTAAATCGGTCCCCATGTTATCTTACCTCGTCCCTGCCCTGCCGCAGGCGGCCTTTCGGGTTACGCAGCCGGAACCTGATCTGCTGTACGGTTACTCAGGCGATGCGAATGATGGTGCCTTCACACGGGCGCAGCACATTGCCCAGGCTGGATTGGATCCTAGAAATCCTCGCTCGGCCGAGGCCACTGCCAGAGGTCTCCGGTTCCTTTCTTTGCTGTCGAATTCAAGGCTCAGGGGGGCACGCGGGGTGACCTTTGGGTCGCGGCAAATCAGTGTGCCGGTGCCGGGGCGGCGTGCCTCAACGCCGCGGACAAGTTCAACACGGTGCTTGCGAAATGCCAGGACGCGACGCGCGTTGATGCTCTGTCGTATGCGGTCGGAGTTGACAATAACATTGCACAGTTGTTTATATCAAGCTTCTGGCCCACCCAGCCAGACGCTGTCCAGCAAGTTACCCAGAACAAATGACCTGAGTAACGTCATCTCGGACAACCTAGAGAATCTCGTAATTCGTCCAGAGCATCGATGTCGAGTTCAACTGGCGCTTCTCCTCACTAAGCGAGATTCAATGAGTTGCGGCCCGCAACGTGCGAAGTTACGTTCTTCTCTACCAGAAAGGCCCCGGTAACCCTGGCCCTGCACCATGCAGCGCCAAGTATGTCTATGCGCAAGGTTGCACAGGGTTAGCTTTTCATATCCTTGCTCTCGCGGGACGCTAGATTTGTCAGAAATTGCTGGTAATAGGGTTTGGGTATAAAACCATCCCCATCATCCCCATCATCCCAACCGTCCCAACCGTCCCAACCGTCCCCATCATCCCCATCGTCCCCATCATCCCCATCGCCCCATCGTCCCCATCATCCCCATCATGCTGGAGTATAGTCCGTTTGATGCACTTGGGATTACTCCCGGTGTTTATGACGCCAGAGCCTTAAACATCGCATTTCGAAAGGCAGCGAAACATTGTCACCCAGACAAGCGAGACAACATGGTGGTGGACCACAAGAGATGGCCTACTATTGACCATTTAAATGCATCCCGCGACTTCATCTTGACCATGGACACAAAGGATATCATAAAACGATATCAGCATTTCCCGCGCACCTTTTTCCCCACGCGTCATCAACCCGGGGATCCGAGCGCATACGAAGAGTGCCATTCTGATGGCTTCATTACTTGCCCAGAATGTAAGATGCCTATGGAGACTGCCTCTCAACCCAATCACCTGGAGCATGAACATCAACTGGAAGAATGTTGCATTTGCAAACGACTCGTTTCGTTAGAAGCCGCCCCTGGACATTACGTTGACAATCACCTCTGTTCTATCTGCCTAGAGGAAGAGGTCATTAACCTAGTACAACACAAGCTTTCTATACACTCGTGTGCAGATTGCCAGTATGAGTTTCAAGAAACGAAATCTCTTTGGAGACACCGGGAAGCGATTGTCTGTCCTCTTTGCGAGGCCTCATTCAAGCCCTCCTGTCGCTTCGAAAGTCATCTTTTGTCGGAGCACCTGTGGGTGGCTTGCCGAAGATGCCGGCCTCAGAGCGAAGGTTTCGAAGTTCACGTTGCCATGTTCCATGAGTGGAACAGTTGCTTACTATGTAAGGCTTATATTGCCGTTGGGACGCTTTGGCTGCATCTGAGAGAAGCCCACCGATGGAAAAGATGTCCTGATTGCGCTGATTTGGAATCCGGATGCACCAGGGAGCATTTCAACTTGTTCCATCCCGAAGTTGTCTGCGAATGGTGTCAATTAAGGCTGCCCAAGGCGGAACTTGACGACCATCTAGTCGACATTCATTCATGGGAACGGTGTTATTACTGCAAGATGGTGCAAGACCGAGATTTCCTCTCAACGCATGTCTCAGAGGTCCATCAGCCCCAGAGCTGTCCAATCTGCAGCGAACCTCACCCTCGTGCAGAACTCGATAGCCATGTCTGCAAGGTCCACAATTGGAAGCAGTGTCCTTTCTGCGAGCACACGGCAGCAGAGAGCGATATACGGCGGCATCTTTTCACTGAACACAACCAGACCGAATTATGCGAAGAATGTGGAGAAAGATATCCACTATCAGCACTTTCTCCCCATCTTCGCAACTCTCATCAGTGGAAGGCGTGCCAGTTCTGCGAGGGCCTTTTTCGAGAAGACTTGTTACAGAAGCATGTCAGTAGCCATGTACCTCGGCACTGTCCCATTTCGACATGTAATAAAGTCTGTCCTGAAAACGAGCTCCCTTCACACATATGTGACGAGCACTCACAAAAGATCTGCCCATTCTGTTCTCTATGTACGATTGAGTTACATCGACATATTGCAGGCAATACTTGTAATCGCACGGGTCATGGCAGAGAAGAGGACTCGACCACACATCTCAGCGGGAACTTGCAACTGCATGAGCGACCCTCACAAGACCCGGGTCCTTCTTTTCCAGCCACAGTACGGCCAGACCGACTGGTTTCTATTTCTGACGGTTTCATTCTCTCTGCCGAGGCCAAACATACCTGTCGTACTTGTGGATATCAAGGTTCTCGGTCAGAGGTGGGTAAACATATTAAATCTCACCAGTAAGTACTCAATATCTTAATCTTGAGTTATTTTAATAATATTATTAGAATAAACCAGACCGGAAAGTTGAATGATAGATGTCGACTCTGTGGCGAGATACGGTCAAAGAAGCATTTGGCTCGCCACGAAAAGACATGTCGAGGGCCTCAGCCTAAAAGACGGCGTCTTGATGATTCTCCCGAGTAATGCCAGAGTATGCACTCACGGTCGCGTTTGTATTTATTGCTATTACTATGGATATCAAAACAGAGTCGTGAGAACTGGATGACTCCTTTGTTATTATAGAAATAAGACCACTTCCCTGGCCAACCGGCTGCTGTCTAGGTACTCGCCTAGGGCAGCTTGTTTACAATACTTAGGGGAGAGGAGCACAGAATGGGCAAAATTCGTGGAGAAGAGCAAGTTCTTTTCAATAATCTGCCCCCGATAGATAGCTTTTCTTGAAGGACCAGATGGATGACCCCAAGGTCATCCCGCCGCAACAACGGGGATGGGCCCGTGAGCGGGACTGACTGTACTTATTATCTTGAGACCTCCACAACCCTGCGATACAGAGGCTCTGGGAGGCGTGGTTTGCACTACTGAGGAGCTACCCCCCACGTTAAATACAAAACAAACAAACAAACAAACTGAGGAGTTATCCCCCACGTTAAATACAATCAAACAATCAATCAATCAATGTGGGAAGGTCTGTGCAGGCCGTCACATATAATATTTCGTTGATCTTTGCTACTGCTTAATATATATGCTGCTCGACAGTGTTGCGCGCGGACCCGTTAACCCCATCCGAAAATCTAAAAGGGGTAGTATAAAGGATAGTATAGAGAGGGTAGCCTAGGTGATTATAGGCCAGTGTCGTATACGTGTGTCCTTCTTCAGTCAAGCTTGGTGCCTGTATTCCTCTTGGAACACGTCCATGTTAATGCTGATGGGGGTCAGTGCTTGTCTCGCGGTCGAACCCCGAGCCGCATGAGTTGCGAACTCAGTCGCTGTCGCTGTCCACCCCGTTCTCCTTGTTGTACTTCTTCCGCTCCTCCTCGGCCGTGTCATTGCACTCGTCCTCGCACCTCACCAGCTCAGCGTCAGCGTGCCTATTGTCCCTGTCATAATCCACATCGGCTCCCGAGTCAGAGTCAGAGTCGGGGATGTTTTTGAGCTCCTTGCGGTGCGCTTCCTGGCAGTTCTCCATGCATTTTTCTTGGGTTTTCACGATGTCGTCCAGACTTAGCGCCCGCGGCAGTGAAACCGCCCGGGCGAAGCCGCGGGCGAGGTGGCCCTCTTGTTCGGAGGCTGCTCTCAGGTGGACTCTACGTCCCCCGTTCGACGAGGGCACTGCTAGGACTCCTGCTGCGGAGAGCATGATGACGAGGGCAGAAGACGGGTGCATGATGACGGCTGGTGCTGCTGCGATGTGGGATACAGGTAGTTGGACTGTTGTGTGGGAGAGTGTTGGGCTTTGATGTGATGGATGGATGTACTTTGAAGTGATGTGCAAGGAATGGCTTGACTCTGATGGTGAGGAGGACTTTCGCCTTATGTAATGTGAGATTTCAAAGTGTTCTATTAAGGAGAGGAATTCCAGCTACTCTGGAGCGGCCAGAGTGGCCCTATATATCCAAGATACTAAAGGAAAGGATACGTGGCCTTATGTTGCCACGTATGTGACAGAGTCACAGATGGGGATGGTGATCCTGAAGGATGACTATGGATGGGCTAACGTAGCCCAGAATCCAACATGTACCAGATCATGTCGTCGTAAAATCTATTTAAAGACTGTCAAGGTTTTTTGCTGAGCACTTACATCGACGTGTCAGTTACCGGAAGAGCTCCGACTATCTCCAGGGATCTTGATTTTCACGCGAACTTACGAAAGCCTGCCTTAGCGGGGCACGTGGGATGGTGGCAAAGAAAGCTTGACATGAGCATAACCCAGAAGGATTTGCTCCCTGCTTTATTACCCACCCCATAAAGTTCGAGTCCATTAAAGTTCTATATACTACAGCAAATATTTATAGGTCGGAACTTTGGCCAGTCGACGCCGCTTCCTTCGGGCGCGCCTTTGCCGGCCTGGGAAGGGGTTGTCCGCTCGACTGGCGCGAGAATGCCTCGTGGTCAGGGTTCATGGGCAATCCATTCATCGTCACTCAGCGCCTTCGCCGTGGACCGTTTTAGTGGTTTCATTAGAGCATCTGCCGCATCATGGCAAGGAACTTGGCTCGACTCTCCCCTTCAAGCATGGTTATGGTCCCCTTCTCTTTGAGCGAAATGCTCGCCGGGAGTTATACCTGCACGGAAGTCCCCTACAGACCGAGCAGTATCTCACCAGCAAGGAAGAGACGAGTCGGGGATGTCCAGAGCTTACCTTTACCCGTGAAGAACTTATGACTCGATTCGGCCGAAGTGAGGAGCGCCTGCGCGGGCTTCCCATCATCTCCGCCAGGTGGGCGCGGCTGCTATACGTCTGATACTCTGATCGCTTCCTGTGAACAGGTGGCCACCTTTCGGTCTTGTAACTGGCATGCATACCACGTTCCATATAACAACTCCATCCCGCAAATGTGGTGTCAAAAATGCCCCTTTTAAGGTCATGCCAGACACTGCCGTGACAAGCTTAAGGCCATGTAAATGGCAGCCCGGAAAGAGATGTAGAGGGGGAGCCATGGTTTGTTTGTTTTGTATTTAACGTGGGGGTAGCTCCTCAGTAGTGCAAACCACGCCTCCCAGAGCCTCTGCATCGCAGGGTTGTGGAGGTCTCAAGATAATAAGTACAGTCAGTCCCGCTCACGGGCCCATCCCCGTTGTTGCGGCGGGATGACCTTGGGGTCATCCATCTGGTCCTTCAAGGAAGGCTATCTATCGGGGGCAGATTGTTGAAAAGAACTTGCTCTTCTCCACGAATTTTGCCCATTCTGTGTTCCTCTCCCCTAAGTATTGTAAACAAGCTGCCCTAGGCGAATGCCTAGACAGTAGCCGATTTTTCCCCAGCCTCTTACAAAAGAAAATGTGTTGTGGTGTTTTCTTCTCACCACAGCTGCAGTGATCATTTGAGTCTGTGTGCCCAAAGCGTTCATGGTATCTGGCAAAGTCGCCATGTCCAGATCTGGCCGCTAGAAGTCTGTGTAAAGTACTCCTCTTAAAAGATATAAGGTCTCTTTCAGTTACTATATGTGAGTATACTTCTTGATACCTAGATTCTGATTGGTCTTTCCACCATTGGTTGAACTCTTTCTTGCCCTGTCTTTTGAGATCTCTCTTGACCCAAGAGATTGTAGGAAGATTTGTTGTGTCTGTTTCCAGCATGGCACCCTCTTTTGCTAGTGTGTCGGCAGCTTTGTTGCCATCAATATCTCTGTGTCCAGGAATCCATTTGACGGTCACTCCAGGAGTGTGTGCTGTGGCAAGTTCTTGAAATCGTAGAAAAATGGTTTGTGATGTCTCGGGTGGAGTCCTATTAAGCCCATCTATCACTGACGTGTTGTCCAGGCAGACATATAGCTGTTTTCCGTGTCCAATTGCCCTGGCTGCTGCAAGACCTTGGAGAGCACCATGGACTTCAGCATCTACTACTTCTGCTTGTAGAAGTCTGCCCCTTCCCCGGTATACTTCTTGTGTAGTGCCGCCTTTCCTGATGGTATAACCCCATCCAGTGCGGATTGTGCCTTGGTCATCCAACTGTGATCCATCTGAGTAGATGACAAGGTCAGTGTTCACGTTTCTCTCTTGTAACCATTGCTTGAAGAGCTCTGTTTCTTTGTCTTTGTCTTTGCGGATTGGGCGCTTCCTCCATGATGGCCTGGTAAGTATTGGTCTCTGGAAGTCAGGGACTAGCTGGAAGCTTCTTTGTAGCCTTGTTGGATCCTTGCGAGCTTGTATTTGGAGCCTGCCAACCAGAGGGTGTCTCTGATCTATTCGTCCTAGTCGGAGGCCGTGACGTCGTCTTGTTAGGGTTAGGGTTAGGGTTAGGGTTAGGGTTAGGGTTAGGGTTAGGGTTAGGGTTAGGGTTAGGGTTAGGGTTAGGGTTAGGGTTAGGGTTAGGGTTAGGGTTAGGGTTAGGGTTAGGGTTAGGGTTAGGGTTAGGGTTAGGGTTAGGGTTAGGGTTAGGGTTAGGGTTAGGGTTAGGGTTAGGGTTAGGGTTAGGGTTA